TAGCTTTATTTAGTGTTTCATATATAATCTTATTTGATGAATGGAAATGTGAATGGTATAATATTTTATAAAAATCATGAACAGAACTTAGTTGTTAAAACTTTAAGTTAAAATGCTCTTATAAGTATACAAAATCAGTTAATTAGTTGTGTTTGTCTTCATATTTGTAATTTATAGCATTTTATTATGATTCTATATCACCAGTAATTGCCCATACTAGAGAAAAATTGAATGTTTGTTTAATGAATCATTGAATGAGTGCACGAATAGCTGTTTCATTTCTCTACTTGAAACTTTTTAAAAATCTAGAGATTTCAGAAAATATGTGTACTAAGAATTCATTTGTTAAGCTTACCATGTGAGATTATAGTTGCTATCCAATCTAATTCACATTCATCTTTATGTATTCCATTCTATGGTTGACAGATTCCTATTCTTCTATAGTTTATTTTGTACATTCTACATTCTAAATATTAATGGCCATTTACAGTCATTTCACTTCATTTTTGAGTCATGCTATGTATGCAAGTCCTGAACATATTTCCACTGATCAGGTGGATAAAAGTCCAAAAGGGGAAGAAGAGGGGAGCAGAAGGAGAATGTGGGTGGGGAGTGGGGATGAGGAATAGACCAATGGTGCTTAATTTTATAGAACATGGTGTTCATGACGATTGTTTCAAACACAATGTGAATATAGAATGTGTGAAATGCAAAGTACATGAATGATTCACAATATACACAAATTTTGTTGGCAAATCTATATAAAAATAACAATAAAGTGGAGAGGGGAATAAAACATATCATACTGGGAAAGGTGGAATGTCAGAGACAGAGAGGAAGATCTTGAAAGGGATAGATTGTCACAACATACTGAAGCGTATTGTAAGGATGACCCAGGATAGAGTAAGGTTCAAAGTGGCTATTCATAGAGAAGTTAAGAGTTGCAGACAACCTAACATCATCTAACGACAACATCATGATGTTACCTGTTGGTCCATTGATGAGGAGTTCCCCTCCTTATATTGGGATGTAATCCATATTGATGGTTGTAGTCTGGGGATCTAGTGGTAAAAATCTGTGCTGCAGTCCCCAAAGCACATGGTTCGAATCCACAAGTAGCTCCAGAGAAGGTAAATGGGCATTCTCTCCCATGCAATTTACTGCCTCAGGGGAAAAAAAAAAAATCACTGGAGGTCAGCTATAAATTGGTTTTGACTTGATGGCACATAGCAATAATGACAAAAGTGTGTGAAAAAGCAAAGTATACTCTAGATTCTAAGTCCTACTTCACTTTTTTGGGGTGTTTTTACCCCCTTGACTCTCTCTTTTCTTCTTTTTTTCCCCTTTCTTTTATTATAGTGAAACATTTTTAAACCATTCATCTCCACAGCTTAAAGTAAAAGAGTAATTAGAAACTGGGCAATTCTGAGCCTTTAAGGTTCAAGATGAATATTGTACGTATTTTGACATAATTCCTGATAAGATTCTGCATCACATTACTTGCAAACCTGTGGTCAAAATCCTTAATATTGATTCTTCTAGAAATCCTTGTCTACTCTATCTCCTGATCTTCTGATAGTCTACTATAAAAAATCATTCAATAAAAATTCTAAATATAAATATCATATTTAGTTTTTCACTTCTTGATTTTTTCTTTAAGTATCTTAATGAATTGGATGAAACAAATTTTAATTGTTTTTACTAATTATCAACTTTTTAATCATGTCATTTTCGATATTATTAGAGTTATGCTAAAATATCCACTTGCCAAATTTAATGGATTTAGTCATGAGAGTTTTTAAATATTTGAACTATTTCAAGAAAATTTTTAAAGGTAGTTTGGTGGGTTATTTTGGTAGAATTTGAGTACTCATTTAAAACAAACTTAGTAGTAATAAGAAAGAAAAGCTTTTATTTCAGGCCATGATAATTGTGTTTCCCTTACAACTATACAACTTGATTTTTTGGTGTTTTTTTTTAAAAAAAAACAACAACACAAAAACAACCCCAAACTGAAAATCCCTGTATCAATAATCCCTTTAATTAATTATTCCCTAGGAAACCTTTTAAAATGAGTATGTTTGGAGGGCTCTAATTATCAGGTCCCCAATGTCATGAATGTGTATATAAAAGTCCTTGATCTGTGAACAAGATGATTCATTTAGGTATTGGAAAACATCCCTCTCCTTGGTAAGTGACATTAGAGGATACTAGATTGGTGGTAATAGTGCATAAATTGGCTCTTTTAGAACTGGAAGAAAGAGTCAAACAGATGTCCAAACAGGTAGAAAGGCACCTTAATCAGTTAGAAGTGTACCGATAAGGTAATCCATTTTGTATCATCCTTTCTGATACAACATCATTGATTAGTTTTCAAGAAATTTATTAAAGTTAATTTAAGCTTGACTGGTTACTTGACTGTTTGAATTAACCTAATTTTTTTTTCTATCCTAAGATCATGTTATATCTTTGTGTACATGAAGTTTTTAGACTATTAGAAGGGATTATAAATGTGAAGGTCTCAGAACCACATATTCTGTTAATATTTGATATTTTGATATTTGATATTGGGATCTCTCCAGAGTACTTAAGAGCAACAATGTCGGTCTGGAGACTAAGATGCCCATGACCCAAGCCATAGTCTTTGCAATTACTTGCTATGCAGTAGAAAGCTGAACAATGACGAGGAATGATAGAAGGAAAATTGTTGCTTTTGAGCTGTGGTGCTGGAGAAGAGTGTTGAATAAATACCATGGACTGCTAGGAGAAAACAGATTTGCCCTAGAAAGGGTGAAACCAGGTTGCTCCTTGGAGGCAAGGATTCTGAAGCGCCATCTAACATACTTAGGGCATGTTGCAAGGAACGATCAGTCTTTGGAGAGGGATAGCATGCTTGGAAGGGTGGAGGAACAGTGCAAGAAAAGAAACCCTTGATGAGATGGATTGACTCAGTGACTGGGGCAATTGGGATAAGTGTGTTAGAGACAATAATGTTGGCTCAGGACAAAGTATGAATCAGAGCATACATAGGGTTGCTATGAGTCACAAGCAATTCAATGGCACATAAAAACAACATTATTAATAAAACTTTGACATAAAAGTAGAATCTAAGATTAAATGATATTAAAGTAAATATTAAGATTAATTTTTACCTAGGATGTGTCAGACTTTCTAAAAAGTATATGAATGGATAGATAGATCAAAAAGGTGTGGATGGAGGATGGATGGATGGATGGATGGATGGATGGACGGATGGATGGGTGGATGGACAGTATGTAGATAAGGAGAGGTTTTTTGTGGGTTTTTTTGTGTGTGTGTTTTTTTTTAATTCATACAGCAACCCTGTGAAGGTCTTGCCATTTTTTATATTGTTTGTTGCTGTTATTATACATAGAAAATTTTGCATTAAATTTTGTACATTCATGAAGACCTCATATAGTCAACATAGAATTCAAATTGCACTGTTTTAAATCTAAAGAAAGCTGTTTTTTTTAAATACCTTGATTGTTCTGAAAACAGACAAAAATAAGAGTAAATTAACTGATGTCCTCTTTTCTTCATAATTTTTACATTCTCTGGGGCAATAACATGATCAGATGTTAAGTGATTGATCCTTCTGATTCTGGATAGATTATGTGATTAAATGAGACATAGATCTTAGTAAAATTATTTAATAATAACAAAATAACTCTGGTAACATAGTTCACAGAGGGCTGTACTACTAAACCAAAAGTTTATCCAAAGGAAGTTTGAATCCAGTAGTGGTTTCTGAGAGAGAAAGATGGACAATCTCTTCCTGTGTAGTCTATGTTCTTCTAATTCTCCCAAACAATTCTTCTGATTCTGGACAGTCTCTCTGTACTTAAATGACTACATGAGACAATGATCTTAGTACTATCCCTGAAAGAGTGTTTGTATAAGTAACGAGAGAGTGATTAAAAAATAGTTTTATCCCCATTCTTGGGGTTTCTGGAAGCATTAGCATAACTCATTGAATGCTTTACTTGTTTATTTTTACATATTTTAAAAATTTTACAAATTTAAAAAATGTTCTTCAAGGTTACCTTCAGATTTCATGGATTTCAAGGTCAAGTTCAAATTCTTTCTACTCCTAGAAATATTTTGAGATTCCAGAAACAGTGATTGACATTATTCTCAGGATAAACACCCTGAATTACTTATGAGTATTAAAAAGGAATAACTGCTAACAATTTTTCATTGAAGAATTGACACAAAATAATTTTATTTAGTGCAGCAGAGTCAACAAAGTAGTTTCTAATCTACTTTTTTATTCATTGAACTAATATTTGTAAAGTGCTTACTGGAAGCCAGGCATTATGATAAAGGCAAAAAATTAGCTAATTTAATAAACGTGGTTACTGTCAGAGCTAGTTAGAATTAAAATGTCCTTAAAAATGTATTTGCAGCTGGTGTTCAGAGACATATATTTTTATCTCCACATCACTACCTTACATTGATAATAATAATAATTCAATAAACTAATATTTGAATGTGAGCATTTACAAGTCTTTGACAAATTAGTATTATAGTTATTCCCATTTCAAGGCATTCTACAAGTAAATTTGTGTTTAATAAGCTTTGATAGTTCTCTTTTCCTTTATATTTTTATCAATAAATTAATTAATCCATTTAATCCTCTTTGCCAACTATTTTGTGGCATTTGAGCACAAAAAAAGTGAGCAAACTCAGACATAATATCTGAAGACGTGGATCCCTCTGTTCAATGGATGAAATAAATCAATAACATTTGCAACCATGAGATATAATAACGACTAAATACTGGAATAATATCTCATAGGGTCTTTTTATGTATATGAAAAGACATCTAAGCTTTGGTTTCTTTATTTGATTGTTGTTTGTGTATTGAAAACTTTTAAAAAATAATCTTATAACTTATTATACTTGCCTTTCCTTATTATATTTTAGGATATTGAGATTCTCAAAAAAAGGGAGGAAACCCCAAAGCACTTACTTATAAAATGGAACTCATAGAAGGAAACTACACCTTGGTGACTGAATTTATTTTATTAGGGTTTCCAACAGGTCCTGCACTACAGGGTGTCCTTTTCCTCGTGTTTCTGTTGTTATATGGTATGATTCTCACTGGAAACATTGGTTTGATGGTTTTAATCAGGATAGATCCCCGTCTTCAAACTCCCATGTATTTTTTTCTTAGCAATCTATCCTTTGTAGATCTTTGCTATTCTTCAGTCATAGTTCCCAAAATGCTTGTCAATTTCCTCTCAAAGAACAAATCTATATCTTATTACGGCTGCGCCCTGCAGTTTTATTTTTTCTGTACCTTCGCGGACACAGAGTCCTTCATCTTGGCTGCCATGGCCTATGATCGCTACGTTGCCATCTGTAACCCTCTGCTGTATACAGTGGTGATGTCCCGCAGAATCTGTGTGTGGCTCATTGTCTTGTCCTACATCGGCGGCAACATGAGCTCCCTGGTCCACACATCCTTTGCATTTATTCTGAAATATTGTGACAAAAACGTGATTAATCATTTCTTCTGTGACCTTCCTCCACTGCTCAAGCTCTCCTGCTCTGACACCTCTGTTAATGAGTGGCTCCTCTCCACGTATGGCAGCTCCGTGGAAATCATCTGTTTTATCATCATCATCATCTCCTATTATTTTATTCTGCTCTCAGTTTTAAAGATCCGCTCCTCCAGTGGGAGGAAGAAAACCTTCTCCACCTGTGCCTCTCATCTGACCTCAGTGGCCATCTATCAGGGAACTCTGCTGTTTATTTACTCAAGGCCCAGCTCCCTCTATTCTCCCAGCACGGATAAAATAATCTCTGTGTTTTATACCATCGTCATCCCAGTTCTAAATCCGCTCATTTACAGTTTGAGAAACAAAGATGTGAAAGATGCAGCTAAGAAAGCTTTCAGATCAAAGACAAATTCCTCATGAGAGACTAAACTCCAGGGACACCCTCAGTTCCCCACTGACAAGCTCTCCTTGAGAACATGCAATCTTTCACCAGCACACACAGGACTTCGCTCACCAACAATTTTATAAAAAATCCAAATATATTGCCATTCACACATAAGCAAAAGTATTGCATAATCCCAATATGTAACATTGCATTTTTAAATGTCGCAATTGTTACTAAACAGATCAGGATTGTAAATGTTTCTAGCTTGGGGTTTATGTCAAAAGGAGTTGCTTTTACAGATTCCTCAGAATATTGTATGCATGTGTGTGTCTGTGTCGTTGCTGCTGGCCATTGAGTTGGTTTTGACTCATCATTACCCTTTGTACAAAAAGAAGAAAAACTATCTGATCCGTGCCACATTCACACTAGTAGCTATGTGTGAGCCCGTTGTTACAGGTACTTTGTGAATCCACTAGTCAATCATCAACAATCCATTTCAGTTCACTTTCAGCTTTCCCAGTAAGGTTTTCTTATCATTTCTAACCAACCATGTTTATTTTTAAATATTTATTATAAATTATAATCACAGAATAATAGATAAAGATTATAATTGTAAATTACCTAAATGTTCTCTTCCTGGAACAGCAATTAAGAAATAAAATGACATACGACTTGGTAAATCTGCTGCCAAGTGTCTTTTGAAAGCACAGTTAGGGAGGATCTCAGTGTAAACACTAAGGTGACCTGACCCAAGCCATAAATGGAAGATTACAAATCACACTGCATTTTCACACAATCATTCACAGATATTTTGTTTTTAGATATTAAAATGTATTAATTAATTATGAAATGGTTCCAATTTAACGACAATAAATTGAGTTTGAATCAAATCTTTCTTGATATTGCATATCCCTTCAACCAATTTATCTATTACTTTTGGGTCCCTTTGTCTATCTTCTTTTCTCTATTAACCTCCAAATTTCACTCTTTGTGAAAACCTTTCCTTAATTTTTTATATTGGTGGTCTTATACCGTAATTGTTCTTCTGTGAATAATTTGTTTCTCAGGATAATTTACTTCAGATTCATAATTATTGTACAACATTTTAAAAATTATTAATCATTTGTTCAGTGATGTAAAATACTTTACTGTGTGAATATACCACTGTTTCTTCAGCCTTTGTACATTGACAAACAGTTTAGCTGTTTCTAACTTTTATCTATTGTATGTAACGTTGCAAAAATATGGATGTGAATTTGTGTTACAGTTCTTATTACTGTTTTTTAAAATAAACATATGGCCAACAAAGCATTTTTCCTGAGCTCTTCCATTGCTTGATTTGGAAAACACATTTACACAAAGCTACAGAAAACATCCACAAATTTTAATGTTAAATAATATGTCAAATTTGGTTAGCCAAAGTGTAAGCTTTCCAGTAATGAACAGAGAAGCAAAATATGTCAATCAGTGGTATACTGCAAGGTGATGGAAATGAAAAGACTATTGAGTGTGAATGAACATTAAAACTACCATGCCAAGAGACAAGCTGCATATTAAATTATTCTAGTGGAATAAAATATTCAAAATAGAAAAGTCCATAGTTCTAGTAAATATATTCATGGTTAGGGAAGGAGTGGGAAAGGGGAATGAGTAAAACAAAACAGGTTTCTTTTTGGGATACTAAGTACTATGTACTGAGATAATTGTAACAATTTTAACCTTGTGAACTTGCCAAAGAAACAGAATTATACACTTTAATAGTGAATTTTATATGTTGACATTATTAGAGATAAACCAACCTATACAAGAAAATATAGAAAATGTATACTACATGCAATCACTTGTTATGCATCGGAGAGTTGGACTAGGGAGGACAGAAGGAGAGTTGATGCCTTTGAGCTGTGGTGCTGGAGAAGAGTACTGAATGTACCATGGACTGCCAGGAAAGAAAACAGATTCATCTTGGAGAGGATTAAACCAAACAACTCCTTGGAGGCAAGGATGCCGAGGCTTCGTCTGACATACTTCGGACATGTTGCCAGGAGGGACGGGTCCTTAGAGAGGGACATCATGCTTGGGAGGGTGGAGGGACGGCGCAGGAGGGGAAGACTCTCTATGAGATGGATTGATTCGGTGACTATGGTAATCGGAATGGGTGTGTCGGAGGCAGTGCAGTTGGCGCAGGATAGAGCAGGGTTTAGGGCTGTTGTGCATAGGGTCGCTATGAGTCCTAAACGACTCGACGGCACATAACAACAACAAAACAACCTACTATATGGTAATGAAGTAATATATGGAAAACAGCTGTAATTTAGAAAGAATTTCACTATTTACTACATTTTAATGAAGTTGACAAAGCCATGATGTGCATAAACCTTGGCAGTATTATGTGGAGTAAAATAAGTCAATCTCGTAAGAACAAACACTGTGTGATAGTATTTACATTGTTGTTGTTGTTGTTGATTTTCAACAAGTTGAGCACGACTAACAGCGACTCTATGACAAAGAACTGAAGCCTTTTTCTAACTATTGTTCTTTCTCAAAGTTCATGAGGTTTACAGAGGTCCCAGAAATCAATGAAATACCAATTGACATAGTTCAACTAATAAGTGCAGCCTTGGATGTGCTCATCAGTCTACGTGAGGAAATTTTTTTTTCTATAATTATATTTTATTAATTTTCATAAACATTCACAGA